TGTTGTTTACAGTTAATGTTAAAGATAATACTTGTATTTGTAGTAGCATTTTTTTTTTCAAAAACTGTTTGAGTGGAAGTTCAATACAATTCAATTCAATACAATACAATACTGACCTCCTTTTTGTTTCTGCGTTTACTTGAAAGTTGGACCCTGTTCCCACTGAGCTGTTAATAAGTGCATAATAAAGTATTTATTAATCTTTACAAGAAGTGTTACCACTTTAGATCCAGTACCTGCAGAGGAGCTTTATTAGCTCTTAATAAGTGCATAATAAAGTACTTATTCATCTTTATAAGGATTTATATTTCCTTATAAAGTCTTAAATGTTAATAAACATCTTATTAATGTTTATGGCGGTATATAAACTGTTAATAAGTTTCTAATAAGAGCCTGTAAGTGTCTTATAAGACATAATAAAGGTTTTAATTATGCCTCTATTCACACTTATATAGTCTTATTTGTGTTAATAAGAATCTAATAAGGTCTTATAACGTCTTATAAGTGACTTATTACCTATTAATTACAGTTTATTACAAGCACCTCAATATAAAGTGTTACCATTTTTTGCAAGACAAGGGCCTTACAAAGTAATTATTGAACTCATTTACTATTTTGTTTGTGTCACATATGTCTATATTGTCTTTCCCAAAGTATTCCGGAAAAGTTGATTTTACTTTATCTTTCTTTACTACACTGTTTATTACCCCCCATGTAGCCTTCATATTGTTTCTATTTTTGTTTTGTAACTCACTATAGTATTCCTTTTTCTGCCTTCTAATTATCCATACTAATTTGTTTTTCTATGTCTTATATCTGTTTTCTGCCTCTTTCATTCTTAATTTAAAAAAAACATCTATATAAATAATTTATTTTCTTGCTGGCATTTTGTAGCCCTTTAGTCATCCATGGTTTGTTAATTGTATTTTTCTTGGTGAAACACCTTGTTTTACAGTTTTTTTCATACAACTCTATCAATAATTTCATGAATGAATCATAAGCTGAATTAACATCACTTACATACACCTCATCCCATCTCTGTTTTTTTTTTTCATCTTTTAGTGTTTGTATAGCTTCTTGTGACCTATTTCTTCTAAAAGTTTCTGTAGGGATTTGCCCATGTATTGAGACTCTCATCTCGAGCGGTAGGCCCGGGTTCACTTCCACTCGTGGCCCCTTTCCGCATGTCATTCCCCGCTCTCTCTCTCTGGTTTCCGACTCTATCGACTGTCCTCTCTCTCTCTGGTTTCAGACTCTATCCACTGTCCTCTCTCTCTGGTTTCTGACTCTATCCACTGTCCTCTCTCTCTCTGGTTTCTGACTCTATCCACTGTCCTCTCTCTCTCTGGTTTCAGACTCTATCCACTGTCCTCTCTCTCTCTGGTTTCAGACTCTATCCACTGTCCTCTCTCTCTCTCTGGTTTCAGACTCTATCCACTGTCCTCTCTCTCTCTCTGGTTTCAGACTCTATCCACTGTCCTCTCTCTCCCTGGTTTCAGACTCTATCCACTGTCCTCTCTCTCTGGTTTCAGACTCTATCCACTGTCCTCTCTCTCTCTGGTTTCAGACTCTATCCACTGTCCTCTCTCTCTGGTTTCAGACTCTATCCACTGTCCTCTCTCTCTCTCTGGTTTCAGACTCTGTCCACTGTCCTCTCTCTCTCTGGTTTCAGACTCTATCCACTGTCCTCTCTCTCTCTCTCTGGTTTCAGACTCTATCCACTGTCCTCTCTCTCTCTCTGGTTTCAGATTCTATCCACTGTCCTCTCTCTCTCTCTGGTTTCTGACTCTATCCACTGTCCTCTCTCTCTCCCTGGTTTCTGACTCTATCCACTGTCCTCTCTCTCTCTCTGGTTTCTGACTCTATCCACTGTCCTCTCTCTCTCTCTGGTTTCAGACTCTATCCACTGTCCTCTCTCTCTCTGGTTTCTGACTCTATCCACTGTCCTCTCTCTCTCTCTGGTTTCTGACTCTATCCACTGTCCTCTCTCTCTGGTTTCAGACTCTATCCACTGTCCTCTCTCTCTCTGGTTTCCGACTCTATCCACTGTCCTCTCTCTCTCTCTGGTTTCAGACTCTATCCACTGTCCTCTCTCTCTCTGGTTTCAGACTCTATCCACTGTCCTCTCTCTCTCTCTGGTTTCTGACTCTATCCACTGTCCTCTCTCTCTCTCTGGTTTCTGACTCTATCCACTGTCCTCTCTCTCCCTGGTTTCAGACTCTATCCACTGTCCTCTCTCTCTGGTTTCAGACTCTATCCACTGTCCTCTCTCTCTCTCTGGTTTCAGACTCTATCCACTGTCCTCTCTCTCTCTGGTTTCAGACTCTATCCACTGTCCTCTCTCTCTCTGGTTTCAGACTCTATCCACTGTCCTCTCTCTCTCCCTGGTTTCTGACTCTATCCACTGTCCTCTCTCTCTGGTTTCTGACTCTATCCACTGTCCTCTCTCTGCATTAAAGGCACGAAAAGCCCCAAAAAAATAAAAAAAATAAAAAAAGATCCCACTCACAACTATTCCCTCTGTTATATTTGTAAAAATATTGTCAATTACAGTTGCACTTTGCGCTCCAAATCATCCACCCTTTGCTCCAGCACAGATATCTTTCTTTCCTTCTCTGTCAACATGGTTTTCAGGGTTTTCACTAAGTCTATCAATCCGATCAGTCGTTCCTGCTGCGATGTTAACTTTGTCAGCTCACCTGACATAAAGTTTAAGGATCTTTTTATCTCCTCCAGGTCATCTGTGGTTGTCATTTCTTTGCTCCGTGTATTAATCTTTCCATTTGGCATTTCTTCTTCTCCTGCTGCTGGGCCTGAGCCTAGCCTGGTGGTAAGAGGATGCTGCTAGGCCTGAGCCTGACCTGTTGATAGCCGGCTGCTGCTCCTGGGCCTGGTCCTCAGCCTGGTGGTAGCCTGCTGCTGTCGTGTCTCAGCTTGTCCTGGTGGTATGCTGGCTGCTGCTGTGCCTGAGCCTGGCCTGATGACTGGATGTTTCCGGACCTGCTGGTTGCTCGGTCTGAGCCTGTTGGATGGTGACTGCTGGGCCTGAGCCTGGCCTGTTAGCAGCTGGCTGCTGCTAAGTTCAAGCCTGGCTTGATGTCATGTATGTATGTTTCAAGTCTTTCTCAATAAAAAGATAATTACAAAAACAAAACTTTAAAAAGCATGTTTGAAGTGTTTATACTTACTTGGATAGCAGAGTCCTTGTTGGATTGACTGCTTCGTAAGTCATGTTACCAACAACCACACTTTGTATGTTAACACCACAGACTCTAAATATTAAAGGGCGGAGCCTGAGTGACGTCCCCCGTCTGTTCCTGCAGGGGGCGCTGGAGTCCCATCGATGGCGGTCTCCATGCTGGAAATGCTGTCTCAGTCTAACTTTCAGTCAACCTAACGACAGGCTGAGAGCTGGAGCTGAGGCGGGTTTTAAACCTCCTGAGAAACCGTTACACCGCGCCCACCTGTCAATCAGGTCAGCTACACGCCTAACTATGGAGAACACGTATCGGATGCTTTGTGAATAAAATTCACCCCTGCACACTGTGTGTCTGTGATATCAATAATTAATTAGACCAATATAGTTTTTTCTACCAGGCTGTACACATGTTCATTTAGGCTGTAAAAACTGCTTTTTTGGCTTTGGTATGTATGTGACTTCTGATGTTCCTGGAGCCAGCCGGTGCAGGATACAGCAACCAAAACAGAGTCTCATCAGGAGCCTTGATGAACAACAATAATCTAATCAACAATTTCAAAACAGGAAAATACAGTTCTTAAAGTGCACACAAACATCAAAGTTCAATAAATCATATATATGTAATTCAATGTATCACAAATGATATGTCACTGTGGGATTGAGAAGATACTGAAATCATTTATTTAAAAACAAAGGCTTACTTTTTTTTTTCTTTTTTTTAAAAGGCTGGGAGGCTGACCAAACAGAGAGTGCAGGTCAGGAGGGCCACCAGGAGGGGTCTGTCTGCCTTCACACAGACATAGACAATGGGGCACGGTGTAGGCCAGGCTACCAATCAGGACACAGGAGCAGGCAGGGCCTTCCACAGGAGCCGTGAAGCCAAGGCTCCATGAAGCCACTTTATAAGGTTCAGTTATTCAACTGCTCTTTAATGCTAATATCTAATCAGCCAATCACATATTAGCATCTCAATGCATTTAGGCATGTAGACATGTTCAACATGATCTGCTGAAGTTCAAACCGAGCACCAGAATGGGGAAGAAAGTTGATGTAAGTGATTTTGAACGTGGCATGGTTGTTGGTGCCAGACGGGCTGGTCTGAGTATTTCAGCAGCTGCTAATCTGTGAGGATCTCATATATATCAAACTGGTTTTTTGAACGTGGCATCAGTTCACTGTACTCAAACGGCCTACAGTCAGCGGATCTCTCAATGCTCTCACGTCAATATGGACCAGAATCTCTAAAGAAATGTTTCCAGCATCTTGTTGAATCTATACCACCAAGAATGAAGTTCTGAAGGCAAAAGAAACGTTTAATGAGTCAGTTACAACTTTCTATAAAGACACTAGTCAAGATTATAAATCCTCCAACTACATCAAGTTATAAATGATAGTATGGAGACAGGTACATGACGAGAGAGAGAGAGAACTAAAGACAGACAAACAGACAAGTGAATGTCGAATAAACAATAAAAACATCGTCCCATCATGAAGTAATAACGCTGTGAGCTGACATACAGAAAGGTCAAAGGTCACACAGTTCAGACTTTCTGCTCTGTCAGACACATGAGCTCTAATATATTCATACCTGTGGAATAATGTGGTGACAGTTAAACAGGAAACACACAGCAGCTGTTTACAGGGCGCTCAGCTCTAATATAACTTTCAGCCCTTTTTATCCTGAATCACAACAAGTCTCCATCACCGAGGTGAGCTCAGCTCAGCGTGTCAGGACAAACAACAAACAAACATGGTGGACAGCGAAAGACCTCTCAGAGTGAATGTTTTGTGATCAGATAGCAAAAAAAAGTGAGTTTTAAAATAAACTCAGAGATTAAAAAAGTCATTCATGAAAAGTTTGATAAAATAAAATATGTCTGTAGAGTTTATTTAGAGGGTTAAAGTGAATAGGTCTTTATGTTTCCCTCTGTTTCCAATCTTTATGCTAAGCTAGGCTAATCTCATTGAGCAGTTTGTAGGTGAACTAAACTAAACCCTTAGATGTTTAACTGTTCCTCTAACACACATAGTCTGTGTAAACAGATGGGCAACAAAGTAGCTCCCAGGAAGTGAAGCCAAAACATTTAGACCCCCCCCCCCGCTGACCGGCTGTAGTATAGGTCATAAGCCCCGCCTCCTCCATGTTAACAGATGGGTCAAACTATAAAATCAGATTAATGATATCTTTCTGATCCATGTCACAGGGTTAGGGTTTCGGACATGTTTAGATTTAATTCGTTATTTGATGATATAAAACGGTATAAAACGTCATGATTGACAGCTGTGTTGACCAATGAGGCTCCTGCGTTTCCGTCTGCTCCGGATTATCGGAGTAGAGGAGGAACTGTAAGGAAACGTAATGAAGGCGAACAGAAGAGTCATTAAAGAAGAGTCTGCTTCAGTCTGACACAAGAATCTGAACCCACCTGAGCGACCTTTGACCTTTTAGCAGGAGGTTTAACCTGAGCGACCTTTGACCTTTTAGCAGGAGGTTTAACCTGAACGACCTTTGACCTTTAGCAGGAGGTTTAACCTGAGCGACCTTTGACCTTTTAGCAGGAGGTTTAACCTGAACGACCTTTGACCTTTAGCAGGAGGTTTAACCTGAGCGACCTTTGACCTTTTAGCAGGAGGTTTAACCTGAACGACCTTTGACCTTTTAGCAGGAGGGTAAAGGTGGGTTTGGTCTGAGGAAGGCGCTGTGTCAGACCGTTGTAGGGTATTTTGGGGGCCGATGGAGCATCCTCGTCGTTGTTCATCTTTATATCCAATCAGTGACCTGATGTTTGATCAGCACTTAAAGTCCGAGCAGGTTTAATAAACATTCATGCGTTTATATTTTATGTCTGACTCAAACATTATCCTCAATCTAAAATAACAATGAACGGAAGTTATTGAAATACCTATATCTAATTAATATATAATTAAGATAAATACTTTTATCTTAAAGCAGGTCTATCTCTCATTTTAAGCCTCTGCCCCAAACTCTTAATAATTAATAAAAAACACTGACTAAAGTAAAGACGGGTAATCAAACTTTATTCAATTGTCTGAAGCGTTTAACAGGAAACTAAAGCAGGAAGTAAGAGAGGTTTAGATTTACAGAATGTACAGCTGGTCGCTCGGAAGGGTTTAATATCACATGTTTTGATTTGATCGTTTATCTGACACCTGATCACGATCATGTACGTCCACACAAGTTGGTTTATTGTTCAGATGTTTGGGAGCGTGGCAGAGATACTCTCTTTGTTCAAACAAACATAAATAGAAAATATATAGATCATGTATTTTTCTAAAAAAAACTCAAACTTGAGCTCGGGTTGTTTGAAGATCTCATCGAGCTGAAAAGAGTACAAAAGTGTTTTATTCCTGTTTTTGTTCTTTTTTTGCCGTTACCACAGAGCTGAGAAAAGGCTGAGTCCAGCTAGCATGAAGATATATCAGCAGCTAAAGGTCAAAGTGCTATCTAGAAAAAGGAGGCACTTGGGTTGGTCTCTGTGGCCATAGACGGTCTCTGGATGGACGATCTGGTCCAGAAGCAGCAGGTGAGTTGATGAAGGTGTATGGATGAGAAATGTTTGATGAAGGGATGAAAGCTGACAAGCACGACACGACAGAAGGACGTTTCTGTTTGTGACGTCTCTAAACAAACACTATCAGCATAAAGGCCTCGCTCTGTAAACTTTGGATCATTCTGCTCATGGCCAGAGAGAACAGCAGAAACACTCCTTAAATACTGTAAGAATACTCCTTAAGTACTGTAAGAATACTCCTTAAGTACTGTAAGAAGACTCCTTAAATACTGTAAGAATACTCCTTAAGTACTGTAAGAAGACTCCTTAAGTACTGTGAGAAGACTCATTAAATACTGTAAGAATACTCCTTAAGTACTGTGAGAAGACTCATTAAATACTGTAAGAATACTCCTTAAATACTGTAAGAATACTCCTTAAGTACTGTGAGAAGACTCCTTAAATACTGTAAGAATACTCCTTAAGTACTGTAAGAATACTCCTTAAATACTGTAAGAATACTCCTTAAGTACTGTGAGAAGACTCATTAAATACTGTAAGAATACTCCTTAAGTACTGTAAGAATACTCCTTAAATACTGTAAGAAGACTCCTTAAATACTGTAAGAAGACTCCTTAAGTACTGTAAGAATACTCCTTAAATACTGTAAGAATACTCCTTAAGTACTGTAAGAATACTCCTTAAGTACTGTAAGAAGACTCCTTAAATACTGTAAGAATACTCCTTAAGTACTGTAAGAAGACTCCTTAAATACTGTAAGAAGACTCCTTAAGTACTGTAAGAATACTCCTTAAATACTGTAAGAAGACTCCTTAAGTACTGTAAGAAGACTCATTAAGTACTGTAAGAAGACTCCTTAAGTACTGAAAGAAGACTCCTTAAGTACTGTAAGAATACTCCTTAAATACTGTAAGAAGACTCCTTAAGTACTGTAAGAAGACTCCTTAAATACTGTAAGAAGACTCCTTAAGTACTGTAAGAAGACTCCTTAAATACTGTAAGAATACTCCTTAAATACTGTAAGAAGACTCCTTAAGTACTGTAAGAAGACTCCTTAAGTACTGTAAGAAGACTCCTTAAATACTGTAAGAAGACTCCTTAAGTACTGTAAGAAGACTCCTTAACTAGAACAGACACAGCCAGAGTCAGCTGGAGTCAGTAATCCCAACAAAGCTTTCTTGAATAATCACTAGTCAAAGATCCAAAGAAGTCTAGAATGAAAATGCATCAGAAGCAGAAAGTGTTTGAACCTAAAAGAAGCTCATTAAATAGTTTAAACATTTAAACAGTGGAGGAGACTCTGAGAGAATATCAGGCTGGGAACAGAAGCTGAGTCTCTGAATCCTCGTTCCCTGTTCTTCTTCTACAGAAGTTTAACTGAGAGACAGATTCCCAAACAGATGCAGTAATAAAGCTGCATCATGGTCTCTGTTTCTTCAGCGTTCTTCAGTTTGACTTTGGGGGGTGCTAGCTGAGCTGCTGACTAAAAGCCTCCTTCAGTTTCAATCACATATGATGAAACAACAGTGAAGTGAACGGTGAGACAGACATGAAATAAAGACAAATATTCAAAGCTTCATATCGAACAGCATAATCAAATTCCATCAGGAAAATGTCTATTCATGTGTTCAGCACTGTAAGAAGTCAGTGTGAACACATTGAGTCAATATGTGCAGACAGTTTCAGTGATAGACAAACATCCACCTTTAAAGCTTTCTATAGAAGTCTACAGAACTACATGCAGAAAGTTCCTGAACATGAATATGAGTAATAACCAGGACTGCAGAGGACAGGTGAGGATCAGAACCTGAACTAACCCAGACCTGATTTACAGAGGGACCATGATAAAACATTTGAGGGTTAAGAGACGTCAAGGGAATGAATGTTCAAATCTAAACTCAGAGACCAGGATGTAAACATATGACGCTTAATGTAATGATGCAATATTGAGCCTAGAGACCAGGTGACCTGGCCAGACTGGGACAGGACAGTGAACCTGCTCTCAGGCTGAAATGAAGATGAACAGGTGAGGACATGTTGGTACCACGTCAGACCAGACCAGTATAACCAGGTGAATCCAGTTCAGTCCAGTGTAACTCAATACTTCACTGTTCAGTCAGGAGTTGATGTGATTGGACCACACAAGTCCAGAGCGTACTCAGCTTCAGGTCACTTTATTACCCTGAGATACAAGCTAATCTTGTCCATCCTTAAACTCATTATTTCAGGCAGGATGAAGCAGACTACAATAATTGTTATCCAGGTGTGTTTGAGTCCAGGCCAGATTTTCCCTGCAGAATAATTATCTTCTTTGGATCGATGTCCAGGTACACAGGTGTGACCTTCATCAGGTCTGTCTCTATCCCATGATGTCCAGGTACACAGGTGTGACCTTCATCAGGTCTGTCTCTATCCCAGGATGTCCAGGTACACAGGTGTGACCTTCATCAGGTATGTCTCTATCCCAGGATGTCCAGGTACACAGGTGTGACCTTCATCAGGTCTGTCTCTATCCCATGATGTCCAGGTACACAGGTGTGACCTTCATCAGGTCTGTCTCTATCCCAGGATGTCCAGGTACACAGGTGTGACCTTCATCAGGTATGTCTCTATCCCAGGATGTCCAGGTACACAGGTGTGGCCTTCATCAGGTCTGTCTCTATCCCAGGATGTCCAGGTACACAGGTGTGGCCTTCATCAGAGTGAGCAGCAGCTTCTGGATGTCTTTGATGTTGAGGCGTTGTTGAGGCTCTCTCTGCCAGCAGCCGAGCATCATGTCGTAGACTTCTTTAGGACACAGACGGGGACGCTCCAGGACCCGGCCCTGAGTGATACACTCGATCACCTAAAAGCACACACAAGACATGATTAAATGTACACTCAGGTTTATTATATTTATTACTGAATGCATGATGTGGATGATGGAACAGAACAACATCAGTGGACAGTTTCCTGCTCAGATATGAAACAGAGTTATTCTGAGAGGCTGTTTTATTTCCTCATGATCAGCACTTTTTACAGGAGCTCCATCTTCTGTTTTCTCTGTTCACTTTTTCTTTACATTTTATTGTATTTTATTTACTACCTTTACTACCTTTTGCACAATTTAGAATTTATTACTGTAAATATTATTTATCTTATTTTACCTTATTTTGGTTGTATTGCACCGCGGGACGGAGACAAACGAAATTTCGATTCCACTGTATGTCTGGCATATTTTGAAATTGACAATAAAGTTGACTTTGACTTTGACTTTGAAACTCCCATGCCCCCCAAAGGGGGCCCTGCGAGGGTCCACTGTCCTCCGGACTGAATGCACATTGTTACAGCTAAATCGGAGGTTCGACAATCGGTCAAAATCTTCTCTCAAGCGTTCTAGAGTAAACTTTCCCCGGGAGACTGAGCAGTGTGATACACCGATAATTGGAGCACATTCTCCTGTTCCCAATTTTAAAAAAAATGGGAACCACACAGCCACTCCATAGGCACTTTTCCCACACGACATTGAAAAGGGATGGCAGTCAGAGCCTTTAGCATCTCGAGGCAAATCCCATTCACACCTGGCACCTTACTACTGAGGAGCTTCCTAACTGCCTTAGTGACTCTGCCTCCCTTTCAGAGGGCGTTTTCATTTGGTACAGGAGTTCCTCAAAGTATTCCTTATAACGATATCCCAAGTCTGGGTCAGCAGTTCTCCACCCCTGCAGACTGGGGCAAGCACTGCTTCCCCTTCCTGACCTGTTGGATGGTTTGCCAGAACTTCCTTGAGGCCTAACCAAAGTCCTTCTCCAAAGCCTTCCTGAACTCCTCCCACTCCCAGGTTTTTGCTTCAGCAACCACTGAAGCCTCAGCTCTCTGAGCCACCCGATACCTGTCAGCTGCTTCCAGAGACCCCTGGGCTAATCAAATCCTGAAAGGCCTCATTCTTCAGCCAGACGATTTCCTTACCACTGGTGTCCAACACCAGGTTCTTAGTTTGAGTATATCACAGAGAGTATATCATAGTGAGTGTATCACAGAGAGTATATCATAGTGAATGTATTGGGGTGGCAGTAGCTCAGTCTGTAGGGACTTGGGTTGGGAACCGGTCGCCGGTTCAAGTCCCAAACTTTGGACTGTGGACCAAACTGTGGACCAAACATGGAAGTTGGTCTGGTAGCTGGAGAGGTGCCAGATCGCTTCCTGAGCACTGCCGAGGTGCCCTTGAGCAAGGCACCAAACCCCCTGCCCATCACAGTGAGTATATCACAGTGAGGGTTAGAGTAGGGCGTGTTCTCAGGATAATTACTATTTCAGCTTGTAAATGAAAATGTTGACGTAACGCATTTCAGTTTCCCCCTCACCTCGTTGTTGGCAAGCTGGAACCACGGCTGCTTTCCGTATGTGAAGATCTCCCACAGGATGACACCGAAGCTCCACACGTCGCTCTCTGTGGTGAACTTTCTGTACATGATGCTCTCAGGAGGCATCCAACGGATAGGCAGCATGGTGTGACCCCCAACCTGAGCACACACACAGAGACACACACACAATCTCAATAATGATTTACGACAGTAAAGACTGAGTCATCAAAAATGACTTTCTAAACTGTCAACCTGTCTTTAAGACCCAATCCCAACCAAGCTGTTTAAGGAAGTCTTTCCCTTTTTCCGTCTTTTAGTTAGCAACTCTATATTAGATATGATCAAAATGTCTTTACTGGCAGGCTATGTACCACAGTCATTTAAAGAGCGGTAATCAAACCTCAAGTCAAAAAACCAGGAACTCAGGACTCTAGCTAACTATAGGCCTATATCCAACCTTCCTTTTATCTCAAAGATCCCGGAGAAAGTTGTAGCTAATCAGCTGTGTGACTTTCTCCATGACAACAGTTTATTTGAGGAGTTTCAGTCAGGATTTAGAGTCCACCATGCACTGACACTGCACTAGTTAGAGTTACAAACAATCTACTTCTAGCTTACCTCTCACATCAGGCAAATTTCAAGAACAGCCTATTTTCACCTTCGTAATATATCCA